TAGAAGATTTTGGCAAAGTAGCAGGATATAAAATCAATGCAGAAAAATCAACAGCCTTTGTATACACAGCCAATACCAAGGACGTTCAAGATCTCTACGATGAAAATTACAAAACCTTAAAGAAAGAAATAGAAGAGGATACCAAGAAATGGAAAAAAAAAATCTTCCATGCTCATGGATTGGAAGAATCAATATCATCAAAATGTCCATTCTCCCAAAAGCAATTTACAGATTCAATGAGATACCAATCAAGATACCGAAGACCTTCTTCTCAGATCTGGAAAAAATGATGCTGAAATTCATATGGAGACACAGGAGACCTCAAATAGCTATAGCAATCTTGTACAACAAAAACAAAGCTGGAGGCATCACAATACCAGATTTCAGGACCTACTACAGGGCAGTTGTAATCAAAACAGCATGGTACTGGTACAGAAACAGATGGATAGACCAATGGAACAGAATTGAAACACCAGAAATCAACCCAAACATCTACAGCCAACTCATATTAGATCAAGTATCCAAAACCAATCCCTGGAGTAAGGACAGTCTATTCAATAAATGGTGCTGGGAAAATTGGATTTCCACGTGCAGAAGCATGAAGCAAGACCCCTACCTTTCACCTTACACAAAAATTCACTCAACATGGATTAAAGACTTAAATCTACGACCTGACACCATCAAATTATTAGAGAGCATTGGAAAAACCCTGCAAGATATAGGTACCGGCAACGACTTCTTGGAAAACACCCCAGAAGCACAGGCAGTCAGAGCCAAAATCAACTATTGGGATTGCATCAATTTGAGAAGTTTCTGTACTGCAAAAGAAACAGTCAGGAGAGTGAAGAGACAACCGACAGAATGGGAAAAAATATTTGCAAACTATGCAACAGATAAAGGGTTAATAACCAGAATCTACAAAGAGATCAAGAAACTCCACAAAAACAAAACAAACAACCCACTTAAGAGATGGGCCAAGGACCTCAACAGACATTTTTCAAAAGAGGAAATCCAAATGGCCAACGGGCACATGAAAAAATGTTCAAGGTCACTAGCAATCAGGGAAATGCAAATCAAAACCACAATGAGGTTTCACCTCACCCCGGTTAGAATGGCTCACATACAGAAATCTACCAACAACAGATGCTGGCGAGGATGTGGGGAAAAAGGGACACTAACCCACTGTTGGTGGGAATGCAAACTGGTCAAGCCACTATGGAAGACAGTCTGGAGATTCCTCAGAAACCTGAATATAACCCTACCGTTCGACCCAGCCATCCCACTCCTTGGAATTTACCCAAAGGAAATGAAATTGGCAAACAACAAAGCGGTCTGCACCCTAATGTTTATTGCAGCACAATTCACAATAGCCAAGACCTGGAACCAACCTAAATGCCCATCAACGGTAGACTGCATGAAGAAATTATGGGATATGTACTCTTTAGAATACTATACCGCAGTAAGAAACAACAAACTCCAGTCACGTGCAACAAAATGGAGGAATCTGGAACACATCATGCTGAGTGAAATAAGCCAGTCCCAAAGGGACAAATACCATATGTTCTCCCTGATCGGCGACAACTGACTGAACACCAAAAAGGAAACCTGTTGAAGTGAAATGGACACTATGAGAAACGGTGACTTGATCAGCATAGCCCTGACTGTTAATGAACAACTTAATACATTATCCCTCTTAGTAGTTTTTTGTCTGCTCTACTTAATATGACTGGTTTAATTCTGTAATTAATACACAGTTATTCTTAAGTGTTGAAATTTAACTGAAATGTGATCCCTGTTAAACATAAGAGTGGGAATAAGAGAGGGAAGAGATGTACAATTTGGGACATGCTCAGGCTGACTTGCCCCAAATGGTAGAGTTAGAAACATACCAGCGGACTCCAATTCAATCCCATCAAGGTGGCATGTACCAATGCCATCTCACTAGTCCAAGTGATCAATTTCAGTTCACAATTGATCATAATGAAAGGACTAAGAGTCAAAGGGAGCACATAAACAAGTCTAGTACCTGCTAATACTAACCGATAGAATCAATAAAGGGGAGAGTGATCCAACATGGGAAGCGAGATACTCAGCAGACTCATAGAATGGCAGATGTCCTAAACAGCACTCTGGCCTCAGAATCAGCCCTAAAGGCATTCGGATCTGGCTGAAAAGCCCATGAGAGTATTTCAGGCATGGAAAGCCAAGACACTCTGGCAAAAAAAAAAAAGACCTAAATGAAAGATCTCTGTGAGTGAGATCCCAGTGGAAAGAACAGGTCTTCAAAGAAGGAGGTACCTTTCTCTGAAGGAAGGAGAGAACCTCCATTTTGACTATGACCTTGTTTAAACAAGATAAGAGTCGGAGAACTCAAGGGGCTTCCATAGCCTTGGAAACTCATGACTGGAACATGGGGAGATTACTGAGGCCATAAACAAGAGTGTCAATTTGTAAAGTCAACAACAGGAGTCACTGTGCACTTACTCCTCATGTAGGATCTCTGTCCTTAATGTGCTGTACATTGAGACTTAATGCTATAACTAGTACTCAAACAGTATATTTCACTTTGTGTTTCTATGGGGGTGCAAACTGTTGAAAGCTTTACTTAATGTATACTAAACTGATCTTCTGTAAAAAAAAAAAAAAAGAAGAAGAAGAAATTATCAATTCCCAACTTGACTCTCACTGGGATTAAACATGGCAATAGATCTGATCTGATCTGATTTCATCATCATTTAAAAAATCATCTATTATTTTTTCACTTTATGTTTCTGTGTGGGAGCAAACTGTTGAAATCTTTACTTAATGTATGCTAAACTGATCTTCTGTAGATAAAGAGAATCGAAAATGAATCTTGATGTGAATGGAACGGGAGAGGGAGTGGGAGAGGGGAGGGTTGCGGGTGGGAGGGACATTATGGGGGGGAAGCCATTGTAATCCATAAGCTGTACTTTGAAAATTTATGTTCATTAAATAAAAGTTAAAAAAAAAGAAGTAAATGTGGGCACATTAAAAAATGTGGAAAATGCATATTATGAAAAAAACTATGCATGGACTTCAAAAATGTTTGCAATATAAACTTATATTTTAATTCAACTTTCCACAAACTTTTTGAAGTATCCCCATAATGCCTTAATAAAAAAATTTCTGTAAGATTTATGAGTCTAGAGTTCTACTATATAGCCTTACAAAGTTGTTGAAATTAAGGAGCTTGGTCTGGCGCCAAGGCTCACTAGGCTAATCCTCTGCCTGCAGCACCGGCACCCCAGGTTCTAGTCAGGGTTGGGGTGCTGGATTCTGTTCGGTTGCTCCTCTTCCAGTCCAGCTCTCTGCTGTGGCCTGGGAAGGCAGTGGAGGATGGCCCAAGTGCTTGGGCCCTGCACCCGCATGGGAGACTAGGAGGAAGCACCTGGCTCCTGGATTGACACAGTGCGCCAGCCATAACAGCCATTTGGGGGGTGAACCAACGGAAAAGGAAGACCTTTCTCTCTCTCTCTCTCACTGTCTAACTCCGTCCAAAAAAAAAAAATTAAAGAGCTTGAAAAAGTGATGGGAAAAAATTACATAAATTAAAATTATGTTCATTCTTATAAGTTTTCTATAATTTAACAAAAATTTAAAGAAGGCAACATAACACACATAGTTGAATGAAACAGGATAGCTTTTTAAGCATTTTTATATAGCAATTCCCTCACAGCTACCTTCAGCTAGTGTTCTCAGCTCTTAATCTGCTGTGTTGTATTGCATAGGAGTATACAGAGATAGTCATTGGCCACTGATTAGAAACTAAGGCAAGCAATCAATCCTCAGCTGCATTGCTAATGAAATGCTGTTTTTTTCTCACAACTTCAAAGATCAGAAATAAACTACTGGTGTCTGGAATGACTCTGCACTTGCTTCCATTAGGTTTTAGATTCACTTCCCTTTTCTTTTCTCTGGAGACAGAGCACAGCTGTTCTACATCCTTTATAAGACTGTTTTCTTCTAGAAGTTTCCCAAGGGCCATTACTAAGTGTGAGAAATATTGAGAAGACCACAGAAGATTTGTATATGAGTCACTTTCCATCTGCATATGTTTAAGTACACTTATAACAGAATTTTTATCAAATAAAAAGTCAAAATGAAGTATTTAATTATTGCTTTACTATGGATTACTGTTTTTAGTTGCCTTTCATGTTAATATTTAGGGGGATAGGATTGTCTTCTCAAGAGCATGTCATCACAGTGCCTTGAATATTGTCCTTCTAAGATTTCATTTCAAAATGTCGTATTTCAAACAATAGCTTTTTCTAGAGCTCCCTGCATTTCTGAATTGCAGAATGGACACAGTTCTGGCTAAAGTGCCCACTAATTTCCAGAAGTGTTAAAAACACCTCTCCATCTTCAAAAGCCCAAGTTCTCACTGGCATCCAAGACGAAGAGAACAGAGGGGACCATAGAGCAGGAGGGGGACCTGAGGAATCAAACTGTCAGTGGTTAACAGAAGGATCGACATGTCAGGTCTCTATTCAGGTCTCCAGAAAAACCCCATAACAGGAGCTTACAGAGGCTAAGATGCATCCATGGCCTAGAGCTTTATCCTTCAGGAAGACTCAGAGGCAGTCAGGACAGGGCTATAAGGGAACATCTAATATGTGTGATTTCAGAGCCTACTCTGAACATCTAAGAAACTACAGACCCACTGGGGTCAAACAGGACATCACAGCCTTGTTAAAAGGATTGCTGGCATTTCCATTTTCCCACTACACCTGTCTCAGCCCTGGATGCTCCTGAAATGCTGTGGCCTATAAGTAATGTTAAGGAGCTTAATACTGTAGGAAAGAAAAGAAGCTTCAAACTGATTTGTTCCCAGCCTAGAAAAGCTTGTAGCCTGTTCTGAGAATCAAGTGATGTTGTTAAGATTGCATGGAGTTTTCTGAAGGATGTATTTTCTTTGTAATGGACACACAAGAATACAGATGGGGATGAAGAATGAGAAGAGTATGAAAATATAATATTACCATTTGGATGTAGCTTTCTTCCTCTTCTCTGGAAACAGGATTGGCAAAGAATCTCACAGAGTTAATACCATTTCTTTCTGGAGACAGAAAGCTGGTTCGATTGCTGAAAACAAAGATATAGATGAGGTCAATTCAATGTCTCACAGCTGCTCTGAGAGCTAGCCAGGAACTGACATGGCCCCTATGGAGTTTCAGTCCTCTCTTTCCAGACACAACTTCCTTCTGGCCAAAGAAATTCCTGGAGAAGTACAGCCTTCCCAGCAGCTTCTCAAGAAAATGGTTCCCCATTCATAAGGGCTACTTTTTTTCTGACCCTTCATGTGACATAGCTCATGAGCTTTCTAGAACTAGACCAAGGCACCATATGATTTAGGGGAAAAAAGTGGTCATGTCTCTGATGGAAGAAAAGCAAAACTGTGTATTCCTTGCATCCTGCTCCTGAGTCAGAACCATGGGCTGAATCTCTGCAGTCTTGGTTAGTAAAACAGTGCCCTGCACAGTTCTGCTTTTCAAAATTATTGTGTCCTGTGGCATTTAGAATGAACCAAGAAACACCTTAGCCAAGCTCAGGACTCTGAAATGTAACTTCTAAAAGATGATATGAGAAGATGCAGATACAGTTTGTTCATAAAGTTGGGCTTCTGGAAGCCATGTTAGTAGTGTTGGCTCTGCTCCCTGGACCATAGCTTATTCTACTAAGGATAGGGTCAATAATTCTCTCCTCCCAAGAGAAATGAATTGAGATTGAAGAAGAGCCCATCTCTGTTGGTACTAGAATTGCAGCATATAAATAAGCTCAGCAGCTGTGGCATAGCTTTGATTGATTATTGTACAACAGAGAAAAGATCTCTACAAAGACAGAGAAATTAACAAATGTGAAGGTAGAGGCAGATTTGAGAGATGAACAGAGAGGACACCTTGGATTCCCAACAGCACTTGTGTTCCTGCATCTGGCACACTGGAGAATCCAGTCATATATCTTCCTTTGTGATCTATAAAACACATCCTCTGGCTTATAATAGATCAAGTGGATTTTAACCACATTTAATCAAAGAGGCCTACTTAAGACCAGAGGTGTCTGTGCTGGATGAGGCCCATGTAAGCAATCAGAGACTTACCAAGGCACAGTATGGGTCCTGGTTAGAGATGCATGCTCTCGGATGGTGGATAAGTTTCTCAGGTCAAGGGGTGGTGGCCGTGCTACAAAACAGTGCACAATAGCCAATGTATTAGTTCTCAGTTCAAGGCCAGAATCTAAGGACTGTAAACCCATGACATTCTACTTTCTTAGTGCACCAAATCCCAAACTTGCTAATAGGAGAAACTGAGTACGAGTGAATTTCACTGTCCTGCTCTCCCATGCCTCACTGTGCAAATGGCTGCATTACCTACTAGAGGCAAGAACACATTTATTGAAAACCTACTGTATATCAGGTATTGTTCAAGTTTTTGGATGCACAGCATGAATATAATGGATGAAAGTGTCTGGAATCCTAACTCCTACCTCACACCTGACATGACTAGCCAGGAAATTTGTCCTTTATTATCACAGGCAGAGATAATCACCCTAGTTCTACTCTTCCTTGTCTCCAGCCCACTGTTTACCTGACACTCCTGCCTAGAACATTCTTCTCCCTCTTTTTGCCTGGTTACTCATCTGGAGATCTTACCTCGGTTTCCCTTGTTTACTGAGGCATTCTTTGAGCTCAACACAAGGTCAGGCCCCTCATCATGGGTTGCTGTACTGATCCTTTACAGGATTCTCACCAGTTTGTGAAGATACCAGCTATGATTATTTGATTTGGGTCTAGAATGTGCTCCAGGAGGACGGGCATTTTTCTGACTTGTTCACTGCAGTAGTGGTATCTCTTTCTTTCACTAGACTATATGGGTAGAGACTAATTCTCCTCCATGTCACCAGAGCCTAGGAAATGACCTTCTTGTTGTCCAACTGGTTTCTCAGGAGCCTTGGACCTAGGCAAGCTACTGGCCAAGAAAGGGCATGTGAGTCATGCAGAGTCTGGGGACAGGGTCTATCCTGGCAGTGGGACACTCTGATGTCAGGTCCACCCATAAGCTGTCTCTTGGTTTCACCACCTGCTTCTTTTGCCTGGGCCCCAAGGTTTATCGCAAACCCCATCTTACTTGGCCTAGGTGTCCACCCTTGTATGCAACACTAAATCTTCAACCTTGAGTCCATCAAACATCTCTCTGCAGAACTCTAGTTCCTGTAGAGCCCCATTGCCCATTATAGTGATCATGAGCCACATGCAGCTATCTACGTATGCAGTACATGTAAATTTATTAAAGTTAAAGTCTAAAATTCAATTCTTCAATCACACTAGCCACATTTCAAATGTTCAACAGTCTTTTTTCCATCATCACAGGAAGTTTTCTTGGACAGTGCTGCTATAGAAAATTAGCTGGGCAAAACAATAATACCCACCTTAAAGTTACAGACCTTTGTGAAATACTTTCTGACCAGAATGAACATTTATTTCCTCTGTAACTCATAAGACAGAATCTGTTCTATTTAGTACTGACTTCATAATTCTGTTTCTTCCAGATGGTTTTTACATATATATCTTCCTCCTTTTCAGGCTAAAGCATTCTCCTAGCTCCCACATCTTTACATCTCACTCAGCACCCAGCTCAGCACTACACACACCCTGTAAATATGCAAATGGAGTTTGACTCCAATTCAAGGGAGCATGAGCAAGGATTCAATTAGCAGTCTGGGGAAAGTCCATTTGAATTGGTAGTTTTTCCAAAGAGCAAAGAGAGGTAAGAATGGACCAGATGGAATGTCAGAAATGATAGTTATTGTATCAAATGTTTTCTTGTAATCACACAGTCTGCTGGGCAGATGAAGGTGGGCAAGAATGCAGTGAGCAAGTCACTTTGTCCTGCTCTTTCTCTTTCCCTCTGCTCCTATCTCCCTTTCTGTTCATACTGCTTGGCAGATCAGAGAAACTGCTCTGTCATCCTCAAACAGCTCTACTTACAGCACACACACTGAGCAGTGAGTGATGCACTGTGTGTGACCATGTCTGAAATTCAGGGATTGATGTCAAAGGCCATTCTTGGCTGCCTTACTAGCATTGTGATTACAGTCAAGTGTTGTCCAGATCAGTAGATGCCAGGTGGGTTCCATTCTGATCCATCATCATTTGTTCCTGAGCTTTTGTTATGGATGCAGCGAAAGATTAGACCTCTGGAATGAACTTGACTTTGTAGGCTGCATTTGCAGGGCCACATTGCCTGTAAGTCTCCTGATTCCTTTTATAATAAAAATCTAGGGTAACAACTTGCCCCAGCCCTTCCCATTCAGTTCCAACCACTTCTTTCATGCCCTTACACTTTACAGTCCCTGTGATGGTTTCTCTTAGAGTTTCCTTCCCAGGGAGGGTCAGGAAGGACCTTACTACCCTTCCCCTACACAGCAGGCTTGGTCAAGTGCCTTACGTTTCCTCTGAGGCTTGAGATCTCTATTCACGGGGGGAGGCTCCAGGTCTGCAGGTAGCTCAGGCAGTGGGCTTGAGATGCTTCCTGAGCTCATTGGGATGTAGTCATCCTGGCTGCAATGGGTTCCAAGACTACAGACAGTGGCCTGAGGGCTCATGGGCACGTAGCTGTCTTCAGCACTGGCTGAAGCTGTGGGGTACATCAGGGAGAACCTGCACGGCTGAAAGAGAACAAGTATAGGTTGGGAACCACAGATCAGTCAAGGAAATTACTGAAAGACACAGGGTTATGAATTTATGCAAATTCTTTAAGTACACTGAGATGCCTTAAGGATCACCTCAAAAAGCAGAATTGTTTAGAACTGGCAAGGCCCTTATAGAACACCAAGTTCAGGAGTTTCCAAACAACTTCAAGTCTTTTTTTTTTTTTTTTGACAGGCAGAGTGGATAGTGAGAAAGACAGAGAGAAAGGTCTTCCTTTTGCCATTGGTTCACCCTCCAATGGCCGCCACGGCTGACGCACTGCGGCCGGCTCACTGCGCTGATCCGAAGGCAGGAGCCAGGTGCTTCTCCTGGTCTCCCATGGGGTGCAGGGCCCAAGCACTTGGGCCATCCTCCACTGCCTTCCCGGGCCACAGCAGAGAGCTGGCCTGGAAGAGGGGCAACCGGGACAGAATCCGGCGCCCCGACCGGGACTAGAACCCGGTGTGCCGGAGCCGCTAGGTGGAGGATTAGCCTATTGAGCCGCGGCGCCGGCCAACTTCAAGTCTTAAGCAGAGAAAGGAAGGGTTCCCAGAGATTCAGACTGCTGAAGGCAACATGCATAAGTCAGTTTAGTTTTGGTAAAATTGAAGCTTAAAAGAACCAAAGTACCAAACTTACCAAGTTTAAACTAAGCCGCTTTTCTCGGTGTCTTGAGGATTGGCCTTCTACATCAACTGCAAGAAACAAGCCAGACTGGTGAGAAATGCCAGGCAATATCAATCACAATTACATCTTAGTTCCTATGCACCCCAGGGCCCTGTGCTTAGCTCCAAAGAGTCAGAGAAGCATAACACACAGTTTGTATATGCAAAGTGTTCTTTAGAGTCTAGCTGGGCAGTCAGGACACATTTCCCAACAGACAGCTTCAGTTCTCTCTGTCAATTATGGAGAGAGACAGGAATTTTTCTTTTAAAGATTTACATGCTGGGGCCGGCGCTGTGGCTTAGTGGGTAAAGCCGCCGCCTGCAGTGCCAGCATCTCATAAGGGCGCCAGTTTGAGACTCAGCTGCTCCACTTCCAATCCAGCTCTCTGCTATGGCCTGGGAAAGCAATGGAGGATGGCCCAAGTCCTTGGGTCCCTGCACCCATGTGGGAGACCCTGAAGAAGCTCCTGGCTCCTGGCTTCAGATCAGTGCAGCTCCAAGTCGTTGCAACCAATTGGGGAGTGAAACTGTGAAACAGAGGATGGAAGACCTCTTTCTCTCTCTCTGTGCCTCTCCTTCTCTCTGTGTGTAACTCTGACTTTCAAGTAAAATAAATAAATCTTAAAAAATTATGTATTTTATTTAAAAGGCAGAGTTACACACACACAGAGAGAGAGAGAGAGAGAGAATATTTCTTCTTCTAGTTCACTCCCTCAATGGCCACAACAGCTGGGGCTGGGCCAGGCTGAAGCAGGGGACCAGGAATTCCATCTGGGTCTCCCATGTGGATAGCAGGGGCCCAAATACTTGGGTCATCATCTGCAGCCTTCCCAGGTGCATTAACAGGGAGCTGTATTGGAAATGTAGCAGTTGGGACTCAAACTGGTGCCCATATGAGATGCCAGGGGCAGCTTAACCTGTTGCACCAAATCACAAGTCACTAAATAAAGTAAATAAAACAAGTAAATGATTGTGGCATTTATTACATGATCCTTTGAGCTTAGAGATGGTGGAGGCAAGATTGGATGTTTGAGATGAACAAGAGGATGGGGTAAACAGAGAAGCAGTAACATTGTGGGGCACCACTGAGGTCTTTGACCATGAATTGATGACTGATCTCCTACAGCAATGTTCTCTGGCATAGTGAGTGCAGGACAGTTTGATTAATCCAGGGTTACAAGCTTGCCAGATGAATGTGACAAAAATGTGATATGAAAACTTACAATAACTTTTAAATTGAAGGAGATGTCCAGAAGGCATACCAAATACTTCTTAACTCATTCTATAAAGTCATTTTACCCTAATACCCAAACTAGATGAAGCCATTTTAAGAAAAGACAACCACGGGGCTGATGCTATGGCGCAGTGGGTTAATGTCCTGGCCTGCAGTGCTGGCATCCCACATGGGCGCTGGTTTGCATCCCAGTAGCTCCACTTCTGATCCAGTTCTCTGCTATGGCCTGGGAAAGCAGTAGAAGATGGCCCAAGTCCTTGAGCCCCTGTACCCACGTGGGAGACCCGGAAGAAGCTCCTGGCTCCTGGCTTCAGATTGGCGCAGCTCCGGCTGTTGTCACCAATTGGGGAGTGAACCATCGGATGGAAGACCTCTCTATCTCTCTCTGGCTCTCCTCTCTCTGTGTAACTCTGACTTTCAAATGAATAAATACATCTTAAAAAAGAGAAAAGACAACTACAAACCAATATATCCCAAAATCCCCAACAAATTAATAGCAAATGAAATCTAACAATTTATATTTTTTAAAAAACCATTTGCCATGACCAATTGAAATGTATGTCTTTATTTATCTTAAATTATACATACTTATGTATCATGTGATGTTTTGATACATGTAAACACTGTGTAATGTCCAATCAAGGTAAACATATCTAATTCCTCAAATATTTAACATTTCTTTATGGTGAAAACCTGCAAAATCCTACCTTCTAATTTGTTTATTTCAAGGAGAAATTCACAGTACATTATCTAAAGATAATACATAATATAACCCCAGAACTTCTTACTCCTATTTAGCTATAACTCAGCGCCCATCAATCAACCTTTCCCCATTCCTCCATCTCTAGCCTCTGGTAGTCATCATTATAATCTTAACATCTATGAAATCACCTTTTTTCTAGACTCCACATACCAATGAACTCATGTGACACTTGTCTTTCTCTGCTTGGCTTATTTCATTTAACATAATGACCTCGAGTTCCATCCATGTTGTTGTAAATGACATGATGTCATGCTCTTTATGGCTAAGTAGTATTCCATCGTGGATATACACCACATTTTCTTTATCCATGCATCAGTGGTTAGACACTTAGGTTGTTTCCATTTCTTGGCTATTGTGAATAGTGCTGCAATAAACATGGGAATGAAAATATCTCTTTGACAGAGTGGTTTCATTTCCCTTGGATGTATACCCAGCAGTGGGGTTGCTGGATCATATGGTAGTTCTACTTTTAGTCTTTGAGGAGCCTCCACACTGCTTTCCACAAGGGCTATACTAATTTGCATTCCCACCAACAGTGCACAGGGATTCCTTTTTTTTCCATATTCTCAACAACACTTGTTACCTTTTATCTTTTTTATGATAGCTATTCTAACTGTAGTGAGGTGATACATCATTGTGGTTATGATTTGCATTTCCCTGATGATCAGTGATGCTGAGCATGTTTTTTAGAAAAGATTTGTCGGGGCTGGTGCTGTGGCACAGTGGGTTAAAGCCCTGGCCTGAAGTGTCGGCATCCCATATGGGCGCCAGTTCTAGTCCCGGCTGCTCCTCTTCCAATCCAGCTTTCTGCTATGGCCTGGGATAGCAGTTGAAGGTGGGCCAAGTCCTTGGGCCCCTACACCCACATGGGAGACCTGGAAGAAGCTCCTGGCTCCTGGCTTTGGATCGGCACAGCTCCAGCTGCTGCGGCCATCTGGGAAGTGAATTGGCAGATGGAAGATCTCTCTCTCTGTCTCTACGTCTCTCTGTAACTCTGTCTTTGAAATAAATAAATCTTTAAAAAAAAAGAAAAGATTTGTTTATTTACTCACTTGCAAGAGTGAGTGAGTGAGAGAGAAAGAGAGACATCTTCCATGCATTAGTTCACTCCCCAACTGGATGCAATGGCTAGGGCTAGGTCAGGCCAAAGCCAAGAGCCAGCAATTTCTTTTGGTTTTCTCAGTGGGTGGCAAGTGCCTAAGTACTTGGGCCAGCTTCCGCTGCTTTCCCAGGCACATTAGCAGAGAGCTGGATAGGAAGTGAAGCAGCCAAGACATAAACTAGTGCCCGTATGGGATACCCGTGTTGCAGGTGGCAGAGTAACCCACTACACCGCAACACCAGCCCGACTATTGAGCTTTCTTTCATGATTCTGTTGGTTATTTATATGGCTTCCTTTGAAAAATGTTTGTTCAGCTCTATTGTCCATTTTTAATTGTTTTTTTTTTGCTTTTTTTTTTTTTTTTTTTGCTATTGGGCTGAGTTCCTTATATATCCTGGATATTAACCTCTCATTAGATGTATAGCTTGCAAATATCTTCTCCCATTCTGTAGGTTGTTTCTTCACTCTGTTATTTCCTTTGCTGTACAGAAATTCTTTAGTTTGATGGAATCCCATTTGTCTGGTTTTGCTCTTGGTCCCCATACTTACGGATTCTGATCTAAAAATCCTTTTCCATTACAATGTACTTAAGTGCTTCCCCTAAATTTTCTTCTAGTAGTTTTAAAGTTTTTGATCTTAAATTTAGGTCTTTAATCCATTTTGAGTTGATTTTGAAATGAGGTGAGAGAGAGGTATAATTTAATTCTTTTGCACAGATATCTGATTTTCTCAGCATTATTCATTTTTTTAAAGATTTATTTATTTGAAAGACAGTGTTACAGAGAGGCAGAAGCAGAGGCACAGAGAGAGAGAGAGAGAGAGAGAGAGAGGTCTTTCATCTGCTGGTTCACTCTCCAAATGACTGCAATGGCCAAAGATGTGCCAATACGAAGCCAGGAACCAGGGTCTCCCATGCTGGTGCAGGGGCCTGAAGCACTTGGGCCATCTTGTACCGCTTTCCCAGGCCATAGCAGCGAGCTAGATTGGAAGTGGAGCAGCTGGGACTGGAACCACTGCCTAGATGTGATGCTGGCACTGCAAGCGGTGGCTTTCCTTGCTACGCCACAGCGCTGGCCCCGACACTCATTTTTAAAAATATTTTTAAGGTATACAAATTTCATGTATTTCATATATACAGATTTAGGAGCATAGTGATACTTCCAGTCATACCCTCCCTCCTTCCCACACTCTCACCCTTCCTCCTCCTTCCTCTCTTATTCCCTTTGTTAATTTTTACAGTGATCTACTTTGTTTACTTTATAAAATTAATCCTACACTAAGTAAAGAGTTCAACAAATAGTAAGAAGAAAAAAAACGCTGTTCCTCAGCAGTAGAGACAAGGGCTGTAAACAATCATCGAATCTCAAAATGTCAATTTCATTCCTATACATTACATTTTTTGGTACTCTAAAAGACCGTCCTTTTTTCAATGCATGTTTTTAGCACTTTTATCAAAGATCAGTTGGCTGTAGATGTGTTGGTTTATTTCTAGTGTTTTTACTCCATTAGTCTATCAATTTGTTTTCATGCCAATATCATGATATTTTAATTACAGCTTTGCAATACATTTTAAACTCAGGTAGTGGAATGCCTCCTGCTTTATTCTTTTTTCTCAATATTTTGCAATTCCATAAAAATTTTAGTAGTTTTTTCTAGTTCTATGAAAAATGTCATTGGAATTTTGATAGGGACTGCATTGAACCTGTAAATCACTTTGGGTAGCATCAAATTTTAATGATACTGATTCTTCCAATCCATGTACCTGGGGTATCTTTCCATTTCTTTGTGTTGTCTTCAATTTCTTTAATCAATGTTTTACAATTTTCATTGTACAGCTCTTTTGTCTCTGGCTAAATTTATTTTTAGATATCTTATATTTTTGGTAACTATTAGAAATGAGATTGCTTTCTTTATTCCTTTTTCAGATGATT